GCCCCCCGCGCCCGCCACGGGCCGACGGACCGCACGCCCGGAGTTACGTCGGTCCCGCCCACTCGCGTCCTCATCCCCTCCCCCCACCCTGGCGCCTGGTGCGCGCTATCCCACGGTGCTTGGCTCCGGAACTGGCGTTCAGTCCAAGCGCCTTGGGTTGCGTTGCGTTGGGGGTGGAAGGGGGCGGCGCGCCAAGGTCGCGGGTGTCGCTGGCTCCGCGTTTCATCGGCCTGGCCCCTGCATCGCATTTGACAGCTTATAGAGTCCTTTAGTCTATTGGTGCGCTTGCATTATGGTATTGGTGAAGAATATTGAATACACTATGGACTGCAGGAAGAATGAGCAAATCTGTTTTAGGAAAGTACAGCCAGAATGCTGCCTTAGAAGCAAGAATGGGGAGACTTCGTTTTAGATTCTTTGGACATGCTATCAGGAAGGACCAGTCCCTGGAGAAGAACATCATGCTTGATAGAGAGTCAGCAAAAAAGAGGAAGACCCTCAACGAGATGGGTTGACAAAGTGCCTGCATGAATGGGCTCAAACAGCAGCAGTGAGGATGACACAGGACCGGCAGTGCTTCGTTTTGTTGTACACAGAGTCTGTAGGAGCGGGACACCTAACGACTATTGTCTTAGACATCATCCTGGTGCACCTGGGAGTTCTGCGCTCCCTCGAACTTTCCGGAGGAGCGTGGCCAGCGACCTGTCCCCTCTTCCTCCACCCTTGCCTGCGATGCCGCAGGGTTAGCACTTGTGTTCCAAGCTTATGTGGCGATGAAGTAATGCTGCCAAACATTCACCTAGCATTCACTACTTGTGGGACTCCCGCTAAAGCTGTACAACTTTGCAACAACTTGTGGCTACCAGGAGTTAGCGTCAACCAATTTACAGAAGGTCGAATGAGGCCACAACTTCAAAACCACTTTCTGTGAACTGTAGGGCCCATGTGGTGTGGGCTAGACTAGATGAAACCCAGGAGGCTGGCCTGGCAGCCTAAGGCCCGGGTTCAGCCAGCTCCATTCCAAATGCATGTGACCTTGGGCAAGTTTCTACACTGCTTTGGTCCATAGGTTCCTTTGCACAAATACAGGATTTGCAGGGGGGCAGGGGGACAGGCATCTTTGGTTGGGTACAGTATGCCGGCCACTCAACATGGCTATTTCTCTTAAGTCTCAAAACTGAGAGGTAGTTTGTTGGTGTTAGGTGCCATAGAGTCAATTTTCGACTGATAGTGACACCATGTCACAGGAGAACTGCCTCATATGGTTCTCTAGGCTGTAATCTCTATGGAAGTAAGCCTCAGGTCTTTCTCCTGGAAAGAGGCTGGTTCCAACCACTAACTTCAGTTAGCAGCCAAGCGCTTAATTGCGCCACCAGGGCTCCTTTAGGCGACATTTTACTAAAAAAAGATAGACGTTAAGAACCTGGCAGGTGATCGGCGGGTACTTTTTCCACTACACCACGTTGCCTCCTCAAGTGACAATCAGGCTTGAATCCAGCTAGACGCCTCTGATCCAGCTACCCAGGAAGACTCATCTCTCTCCTGGCCCAGCTCCGTACCCCTCGCCTTTAAAACTTTTGCATCATTATGAGTATTTGTCCTAAAAAAAAAAAAAAAAAAGGCATACAAGTTGTGAGCCTGCTTCTTTAAGGCGGGCAGGCCTTGACTTTGGCGTCACCACATTCTCCCCCACCCCTTCCCCGCGGGAGAGGTAGCCTTGGGGCTCGGAGCCAGCGGACGCTGGGTAGCACGTGGATTCCAAGGGGCCAACCGTCAGCTTTCCCTGAGAAAAGGCTTTGCTGCTCCCCTTGGCTTGGAAGTTCCAGTCTAGGGGTCACTCACTCAATGCCATCGAGTGGGTTCCGACTCATAGCAGCACCCATTGGGCTTCTGAGGCGGTAAATCTTTACGAAAGTAAATTACCCAGTCTTCCTTCCGCGGAGTCGTTGATGGGTTTGAACCGACAACCTCCACCAATCCTCTGGTTTGCAATCTGGAGTAGGGAAAGTGTAATCTGACCTGTGAAGAGGCCGCTGGGTCTAAAAGGCAGGAAAGAAGGCGTCCACTCCATTCCTTGCTCTCTGCCAGGTGAGGTTTGAAATGACACAAGTAGAGACTCCAGCCCCCTTAAGGTCCTATTCAGTCCCAAAGTTATGGTTTACCAAACAGTTTCATAGCCAACAGCCAAGAGATTATTCTATTTTACAGAGCAGGAAACTGAGGTTCTTTATGTAATGACTTTCCAAGAGGGGAGTAGAACCCAAACTTCCTCACACAATCTCCCATTTTACAGCTGAGAAACTGAGGGCCAAAAAGTCAAGTCACACTAAGGTCACCCAAGTGAAGGAGCCAGAATTCAAACCCCCACCTGCCTGATTCCAGAGGCACTCCACCCTTCCTCTCTCTTATTCAGAAAGCTCCGTGGTGATTGCAGTGGGATCTAGCTAGCCTGGCCTCTGGCCCCAAAAGCTGGCAAGAGGTACTGTGTGCTAGAAGGCACCTTGGACCTGCCTTAAGACCAGAGCGTGTGGGAGGCAGGGACCAGGCTCCAAACTGCTTTCTCCTGCAGCAGTTGGACCTTTAGCAAGTATCTCAACCTGTCTAAACCTTCCCATTCAGAAAATGAGTGGTAATTACTAGCGAGAAATGCTACGATCTCCCAGCGATTATGTGATGATTTCATTAGTTAATAGCCGTGACATGGTGCAGAAAGTTCCAGAGTGCCTGGGTTCTGATCTAGCCTCTGTCTCCAATATGCACCATGATCCTAGGCTTGGGTAATAACTCTTATATCCCTTTCTTATTAGAGACAGCGTCAGGCAACAACAAAGTAGCACAGCAAGAAATCAAACCTAGAGACCTCTGAGCCTGGCATTCTCCAACAGTAACATGAGAGACTTTCACTCCATTTCTGCTTTTATTCTTGCTATAATCTTAAATAGGATACCTTTGAGATTTGTCCCTCCATCTCAGTTTCATTGTCACAAATAAAGGCGATGATATTCCCTACTCTGCCTGGTTTACAAAGGGTTTTACATGTCTGTGGAAGCTACATGAACAGTCAGCTAATAGCTCTGTGATGCCTGCCAGGGACCCAGGGCTGAGAAGATCTTTGGCCCTGCCTTCTTCCCATATAGATGCTCTGAGACTTAGGAAACTGTGGGCATTGTTGGCATGATCCAAGTCCAGTGTGGTGGCTGCAGCCTAAGCAACTGGAGAGGTTACTGGACGGGCAATGAGGCACCCTGGAGCTGGCAAAGCTGTCCCCCAAAGATGACTGTGACAACTGTAGAGTGGAACAGGAGCCCTGAGATACCTATCAAGTTCGGGAACTTTGGCTCACAGCTCCCCTCCTCGGGAAGAGCAAGCCTGGAGGCTCAAGGAGGAGGTGGCCACATCCTAGCTCTCGTCCAAAATCAACATCTTTCAGTCCATGTGGCCATTGCCAGCCTTCTTACACAGATAGAAGAACAGAGATTCCTCGATTTACTGGTAAGGGGGGGAAGTAGTACCAGCACAGGGGTTATTGTGGGTACAGGAGGACCAGTCTTTGCACACAGGGAGAGCGAAAATAAAAGGAAGCTCGCTTATTGTGAGACTGAATTCCTCCAGCACAAGCCCCAGGGCAGGGCCAGTGCCCCCTCCATCCTGCACCCTCAGGGCCTAGTAAGATATTTATGGGGCTGTGCCTCTGGTGGCACAGTGCCTAAGGCATCTGACTGCTAACAACAAGGTTGATGGTTCAAACCCACCAGCCACTCCTTGGAGGGAAGACTGGGCAATCTACTTCCGTAAAGATTGACTGTCTCAGAAACCCATTGGGGGTTGTTATGAGTCAGAATTGACTCTATGGCAGTGGATTTGGTTTTGTTTTTTTGGTACCTCTGAGTCCTGGGTCAATGTTGTCCCGACCTAGAACTGCCCCGGAATCACAGAGCCCTCATGGAGAGGAGAATTCCAAACTGCAGGCTACAGCAAACTCTGAG